AGTTCTTGATGTGGTACGCTATTGTAAATTTTAGTGAGATTATAAGAAATTGATTTTGAAATTTTTTGATCAAAGATGCTTGAATATCATCATAATCAGAGGCTGAATTTGTTTTTAAGGCATTTAGTAGTTTTTCTGTTTGACTTATCTTTATTTTTTCAAATTGGAAGGAATTAAGAATATCACATCCAGTTGGTATTTTTCTTTCATGTTGATGTACTACTGAAGCAAAATAGTCATTTAATTTGTTCAACACTATTATTTTTTCATTTATCTGATTTGCTCCTTTGCTTGTAAAAGTAATTTTTTTATGAATTTCCAACTATCTTTTGGGTTTTTACTTGTAAATGCCTCTTCTCCTTTTTCTTTTTCCTTTTTTTTTGTATTTATCTTCTAATTTTTTTTTTTAGGGTTTTATAATCTTGGTATTGGATTTCTGAGAGCTTGTTTTGGTTTAATTTTCTAGAGTTTGCGCCATGTCTATTAGCTATCTCAAACACCAAAAAATGCTGGATCCTTCACTGATCTGTGGTTGGATGCCTACTCTAAGCTTTTTTTGACATGAAACAGGTGTAAACTTCCAAGTTAAATGCTCTTCTGCTGTGCTCTGTGATGCTACCATTAGGTCTTCTTGGAGCACCTAAAATAAACACAGAAAAAATGTGTATATATATTTTTGAATCATATTGATATGTTTTGATCTAGTTTTGTTTACAACAAAAGATCAAAAGCCCTTTACCCAATCTTTTGAGGAAACCATTTTGGATTTGGATTTGTTTGATCCAAGGCTCTAGTAATAGTATTTTTAAAAACATTTGATACCAAAATGAGGTAAAAATCATAAAATTTGTTGTATGACTGAGAAAAAGCTCAAAGATCAAAAAAAATCATTTTACAATAAAGTGTTAATTTATCTATCGTAATCAGTGAAAGATAGGTACAACATATTTTTTCAATTATTAGGCACAGTTTTTTTTTTTTGTACAGGAACACATTAAAAAAATATCGTTGAACAAATTAACTTGATTTGAAATCAGAATCTATTTGAATCAATGCTTGGAAATTGCTCTAAATTTAGTTAAAAACCATAAAAAGCGTAACTTTTAACCAGGTCAGGTCAGGTTTTCCTGCTACTGGTAACATGTAACCCAGTACAACCTGCTCCATGTCCTGCTGCCTTGTAGGATACACTTTTTTAGGCAAAGGCTGGGAGAAATTAACTCCGAATTAAAACACCCCCTGCCTTGGGGCTCTTGGTTGAGTAAAGGCTAGAGATGGTGTCTCGATAAAAATACTCATCTTGGGCAGATGTTACATGCATCCAGCTGCTGTCTTGTAGAAGGCCTCCTAGGCAAAGACTTAAGGGGTAAACAGATTCTATCTGTTGACCAGCCTCGCACCCCTTCCTCATCTATTAGGCTAGCGCAGATGTATTTTTAATACATTGTTTCCAGTTTAGGATGTTGAACGCTGGATCTTCTTGACTCAATGCGTGGGTATTGCTTGTGTCTCTATTTTTATGACTGGGCAACTCATTCTATTATCTCCTTATGAGGGTACAGCTCTAAAACTCAGTTTTATGGTTCTGAGGCCGGCTGGTAGTCAGGTTTCCCGAACTCTGTGGTAGCTCTCAGAGAGGCTGATTCCATCAACAGCCGAAAAATATCAGAGTACTAACAGTGCCATGTTGCGCATGGATGGTGTCCCTGTTTGTACTTTTGGTGTGCATTGCAGAGGCCACATTTGGAGCCCTTTGTTACGGCTTAGGGTTTATTAATAGTAATGAGGCTATTACTTAGTTGTTAAATAGTGTACTGAGTACTATCTATACTTGAGTCAAGTTCTTTATAAATTTAAAATGACTAAAGTACTTAAAACTAAAAAACACAAAAAACCATCGTCATCACCAAGTTCTCTAAACCTATCATTTACTAATATTCGTGGTCTTCGAAGTAACTTTTCTTCTGTTGAGTCTTATCTCTTGCAAAGTTTACCGGACCTGCTTGCTCTTTGTGAGACTAATTTGAGTTCGGCTGTCCCATCTTGTGATCTTAGTGTTGATGGTTATCTTCCTTTGGTTCGTAAAGACTCCAATAATCACATGCTTGGCCTGGGCATCTACATTCGTAAGAACTCACCCATTTGTCGTGAAACTAGGTTTGAATCTACAGACTATTCATTTATGTGCTTTCGTTTAGCACAACTTCACTCTATCGCCTTTCTCTTTGTTCTATATCGCTCTCCTTCATCCCAAGATTGCACTATTCTTGATGTTATTTCTGATCAAATTGACCAAGCCCTCTCTCTTTATCCATCGGCCAATATCGTTGTTGTTGGTGACTTTAATGCCCATCACACCGATTGGCTTGGCTCTAGTGTCAGTGACTCTGCTGGCGTTAAGGCCCTCAACTTTTGCCTTTCTCAATCTCTAACTCAAATAGTCAACTTTCCAACTCGTTTTCCAGACAACCCTAATCATTTACCTTCTCTACTTGACTTATGTCTTGTTTTGGATCCTAGTCAGTGCTCAATTTCTCCACATTCACCCTTAGGTACTTCTGATCACGGTTTGATCTCTCTAAAACTATTATCAAATTCTTCTACTTCATCAGAATCCCCCTATCATCGTACCACATACAACTACCTTAAAGCTGACTGGGACTCTTTCCGTGATTTTCTTCGTGATGGCCCTTGGGTAGAAATCTTTCGTCTTCCTGCTGACAAATGTGCTTCTTACATAACTTCGTGGATTCAGGCTGGCATGGAATCTTTTATTCCCTCTCGACGATTCCAGGTCAAGCCTCACTCTTCTCCTTGGTTTTCCTCACATTGCGCTGCAGCAATTTCTAATCGAAACTGTTACTTCCATATCTATCAGCAAAACAATTCTCCAGAAAACAGACATCTGTTCACTATCGCCAGAAACCATTGTAAAAAGGTTTTGTCTGACGCCAAAGCTCGCTATTCCCAGGTCATTAAATCTCGTATCTCATCACAAAAATTAGGCTCTCGAGACTTCTGGAGAATCTTTAACAGTATCAATAATAAGGGCAAATCTGTTATCCCTTCTCTCTTGTATGGTTCAGACTTTGTCACCTCACCTAAAGACAAAGCTGAATTGTTTGCTAAGAACTTTTCATCAATATCATCTCTTGATTCCACTAGTTGCGTTTTACCTGACATAGCCGTCAAACAGGTTGATCCCTTGCTTGACATTCGCATCACTTCAGCTTCTGTATCTAAAGTAATTTCCTGCTTAGACTCTTCAACAGCTTGTGGTCCTGACAACATTCCTGTTGTAGTCTTGCAGAGGTGTTCTCCTGAGCTTTCATCCATACTCTCTAAACTATTTAACAAGTGCTTATCAGAGTCTTGTTTTCCATCATGCTGGAAAGCAGCATCTGTTATCCCTATTTTCAAAAATTCCGGAGAGCGATCTGATTCATCTAACTACCGCCCCATTAGTCTTCTTCCTGTCATAAGCAAGGTTTTTGAATCTTTAATCAACAAACACTTAATCTCTCATCTTGAATCAAATAACTTACTTTCTGATCATCAATATGGATTTCGGTCTTCTCGTTCTACAGCTGATGTGCTAACAGTAATAACCGATAGGTTTTACCGTGCATTAGATAGAGGTGGAGAGGTTAAGGCTATCGCACTTGACATTTCTAAAGCTTTTGATAAAGTTTGGCATGCTGGTCTTCTCCATAAGCTTTCTTCTTATGGTGTAGCTGGTAACGTCTTTAAGATTATTGAGTCCTTTCTTTCCAATCGTAGTATAAAGGTTGTCCTCGATGGACAACACTCTTCTTCACATCCTGTAACTTCAGGGGTTCCTCAAGGTTCAATCCTTGGCCCTATACTCTTTTTAATTTACATTAACAATCTTCCAGATATTCTCACATCTAAGGTGGCATTATTCGCCGACGACACTACCATTTACTCTTGTCATGATAAGAAGCCTACACTCTCTGATTGCTTGGAGGGGGTATCTGAGCTTGAAAAGGATCTCACTTCTGCTACAGCATGGGGCTCACAGTGGCTGGTGAACTTTAATTCAGATAAAACTCAATTTTATTCGGCCAATCGTTATCGTAATAATTTAGATCTTCCTATATTTATGAATGGTAATGTACTAGATGAGTCATCTACCATTCATCTTCTAGGATTAACTCTTACTTCTGATCTTTCTTTTAAACCGTATATCAAATCCATTGCAAAATTAGCATCTGCTAAGGTTGCATCTCTTTATCGAGCTCGACACTTTCTTACTCCAGATTCTATTCTCTATCTCTATAAATCTCAAATCCGTCCCTGTATGGAATACTGTTGCCACATCTGGGGCGGATCTTCTAATGATGCTCTTTCTCTTTTAGACAAGGTGCAAAAACGAATTGTAAACATAGTTGGACCTGCTCTGGCAGCCAATCTCCAACCTTTGTCACATCGTCGTAATGTTGCTTCTCTTTCTCTTTTCTACAGATACTATAATGGGCACTGCTCTAAAGAGCTAGCGTCCCTTGTGCCATCTACTAAAATTCATTCTCGTGTTACTCGCCATTCAATTAAGTCTCATCCTTTTTCTGTGACTGTTCCTAAGTGCTTCAAAAACTCTTATTCTTCTAGTTTTTTTCCTCGAACATCAGTTCTTTGGAATTCGCTTCCTTCATCTTGCTTTCCTGATTCATATAATTTGCAATCTTTTAAGTCATCAGTCAATCGTTATCTTGCTCTACAGATTTAGTCTTTTCTCTTCCAGTAACTTCCAACTCTTATAGTGGTTGCTTGCAGCCTTGTTGGAAGTGAAGATGTTAAAAAAAAAAAAAAAAAAAAAAAAAAAAAAAACTTCAAACAATCGGCGCGAATACTTCTATCAAGAAAAAATTTTAAAATAATAAATTTTTAAATTATAAAGGTCTATTATTATTAATTAAATAATAAAGGTCTATTATAACATTATGTTTGTAGCCATTAACAATGATTAAAATTTAACATACTTGTTCATCACCATTAGGAGGAGGAACACTATGTTTTTCTAGAAGATTCCAAAGCTCCTAAAGTAGAAACAGCAAAAAGTATAACATGAATAGCAACAGCATATACAATCTAATGATTTGGATTTTAGTAGCAACCCCGTAAACAACTTAATGTTTTCTTTTTTGATATCTTTTAATTTTTAAATATTTAAAAATGAAATAAAAACAAATCCTTAGCTATACCGTTTTGTTATTTTAATATTTAAAAACTTACATACATGAAGTTCATCATTATCAAGAAGTTCTTTGCTTTTTCTTTGAAGAAAAACTGCTCTAAAAAGAAAACTGCTCTAAAAATCTAAACACTTAAACTTGTTAAAAGTTTTGAAAACTATTTACTCAATTTCTTATTTAAAATATCTCCACATTTCAAAAGGAGCCTAGTTGATCAAAGTCTTGGGCTGTTTATCAGTTAGCAATGGTCATTAGTAGTCTTATGTATACCTTATCAGGGGCTATTCTAGACCAATTTCGACAACATCAAGCGTATTTGGAACAACATCAAGCGTATTTGGAAGTCAATTTGGGCGCTACTCAAGTTAAAATTTGAGGACCTTTTATTTTTTGAACGTATTTCGCAGCAAATATTACTTTTTTTGCAAAAAACGTCGATATTCAGCAATATTTCCGCTAAATTTCTCTGGGATGGGGGGAAGAGGGGTTCCGCCACCCATATTATTTTCCTCAAATAGCCCCTGCTGAAGTATTTTTAAAATAACATATTGAAACATAGTGAATATTACTTTATGGATGGATGAAAAGCTTTATCAGTTTTACAGATTATTTTTGCAATTCTGTGGATCGTGAAAAGTTGCTAATTGAAGATTTTCTTGACAGAAGTTGTTGACTGAAGTAATTTGTTTGTTTTATTTGTTATCTGCTATCTGCTCTTAAATGCATAAGGTTAAACAATCCCTTCATTGAAAAAAAAAAAAAAAAAAAGTAAAAAAGGGTCACCATATGCAAATAAGCTCCAATTTAAGTGGTTATAACACATCTTGATCAAGGAAACCACAGCAAAGTTTGATTCTCAATTAATGTTTCTGATTGAAGTCTCAAAGAAGGTATTGTTCTTTATGAAAAGCACAATGCAGAGGAGGTTGAAGCATTCAAAGTTCAACACATTCAAAACAAGTTTATTTTTAAAGACTTTTAAAATCTTCTATCGATTCAGATCTAATAGTTTAAACTTTAAAGCAAATTTTTTGGCAAAAAAATCCTTATATGACATAAGTATGAACATATAAACATTAGAATTTTAGTACTTACTCAGAAGTTACTTAAATCAAACACTATAAAATTCTGGATCCACACCTAATAAGTTTTAGAAGTGCCATACTTAACAAGTTATTGGTAGCAGTTTTTCACAATGAATATAAGCAGTTTAGGTTATGTTATTCTTTAAAAATGATGTTTACAAACTAATTTTTGAAATATATTGTACAAACCGTGACTCTTCTCTTAACTTTTGTTGCAAAACATCATCATCTGTTGGTAACTGTAAATAAAAAATACTAATAATGCTTATAAAATCTAATGAGAAACTTGAAAATTATAGAATCTACATAGAACTAGCATACAAAACATATACACATACAAATACTTGTAGAATATGTATGTAAATCATAGAACATTTATGCAAGGCATAGAGTATGTATGTAAAGTAAAGAATATGTATACATGCATAGATATGTAAGCATAGATAACAATGCATAGAAAACAAAGTATATAAATAAAAAGCCTGATACTACATATGCAACAAGCAGTAGGTATGCAACATACAATAGTAGCCAGAAAAAAATTGATCAAATATAAATCAGAATTAACTCTGAACTCTGATCAGAGTCAAGTTCCAAATAATATTTACACACAAAAAAAATATAATTTTCTTTATTATATTAGACTTCACCTTAATTTATCCGTATATCATCAACTTAAAGCCTCTTACTTTCACTAATATTAACTATGCGGTAGTGGTGTAGTGGTAGAGCGCTCGCTTCATAAACGAGTGGTTCCGAGTTCGATCCCCACCACGTCCCTTGTAGTACCGCGCTCAACTCGTTTCTCCGCGCAACGGCCTTGTCAAGGTTCGTGTTTCGGAGTTATAGAGTTGAGAGAGGGTTATACCCACAAATAAGTAGCCTCCTCGACTGTAGTGGCCTTCTCGGCCTTGAGGAGGTGAATTAAAATTAAAAAAAAAAAAAAAAAAAAAACTTGTGACAATTTGACCACTTTTCTCGGCCATGCTTAAGAAATGTCAATCTAATATAAAATCAAAAAACAATCCCAATAAAAAATCTAAAGCAAATAAACAAAACATTTTATTATGTTATTTATGTATTGATTCCATTTACTAAATTTTCTTCAAGATATTGCATTTGAAAGATAAAATAAGTTAGTAAACTTTTACTATTTAAGGGATTTGATTAGATCAAAAGGTAGAGCATAGGAGAAAAGTATTTGTAGATGTATTTTTCTTTTAAAACATTTTTTAAGAATATTATATGTATATATATATATATATATATATATATATATATATATATATATATATATATATATATATATATATATATATATATATATATACATATACATATATATATATATATATATATATATATATATATATATACATATATATATATATATATATATATATATATATATATATATATATATATATATATATATATATATATATATATATATATATATATATATATATACATATATATATTAGTAATGTACCCATATCACTTTTTTGGCTGATGCCAAAGGAAGGGAAAAGGCCGATACTGATGCCAATGAATTTACCAATTATTAAAATTTTGAAAATATAAAACCATACAAATTTAAATCGGTACTGGTACAAATACTTGGACCCAATCGTAATGTTGCTTCTCGTTCTCTTTTCTACAAATATTATAATGGGTACTGCTCTAAAGAGCTAGCGCCTCTTGTGCCATCTACTAAAATTCATTCTCGTGTTACTCGTCATTCACTTAAGTCTCATCCTTTTTCTGTTACTGTTCCTAAGTGTTCCAAAAACTCTTATTCGTCTAGTTTTTTTCCTCGAACATCAGTTCTTTGGAATTCACTTCCTTCATCTTGCTTTCCTGATTCATATAATTTGCAATCTTTTAAGTCGTCTGTCAATCGTTATCTTGCTCTACAATCTTTTCTCTTCCAGTAACTTCCAACACTAATTAGTGGTTGCTTGCAGCCTTGTTGGAAGCGAAGATATTTAAAAAAAAAAAAAAAAATCAAAGCCAAACAATTATTTTAAAAGATATTAGACAAACTCAGTTAAAAAAATATACATTTTTATTTTTTTTCTACTATGAAAAAAAAACTTTGAAAAAGAAAAAAAGTAATAAATAGATTTTTGATTTAACAAGAGCTATTCACGCAACCGCTTGTTTGTTAACTGAGATGATGTTAGGAGAAAATTAAATTGTTTCTTTATGTCATTTTAGATTTAAAAACTTATCGCAAAAATTATTATTATTATTATTTAATTAGACATATGTATAAAAGTAAAATAAAAACATTTTTTCTTTTAAATAATATGCTAAAATCAATAAATTTTTAAAATGTTTTCTCTCAAAGCACTGTTTTTAATGCTAATATTATTCAAAACTTTATTAAAAACATTGTTTTTATGCATTAAAATGCATGAAAAATTAGCTTTCCTCAACAAACTAAAGGTTACATGTTACCAATAGCAAGATAATCCTTATGTTAATGTCGAGAAAAGAAAGAAATTTGTTAATATCAATCATTAAAAAAAAATTGATAATCTGGCTACTGTCTTGTAAAAGACAGTAATCAACAAAAAGAATCTGTACCCCTTTATCTGTGTAAAAGGGTACAGACTCCAGTAGTCGCATGTTTGACCTGGGAATTTACATTCGTAAGAATTCACTTATTTGTCAGGAAACTAGGTTTGAATCCACTGACTATTCATTTATGTTCTTTTTTAGCAACACTTCACTTTATTACCATTCTCTTTGTTCTATATCACTCTCATACATCTTAAGACTGCACTCTTTTTAATGTTATTTCTGATCAAATTGATCAAGCCCTCTCTCTTTATCCATTAGCCAATATTGTTGTTGTTGGTGACTTTAATGCTCATCAAACTGAATGGCTCGGCTCTAGTGTCAGTGACTGCAGTCATTAAAACTTTTGTCTTTTCCAATCCATTACTTAAATAACTTTCCAACTCATTTTCCAGACAACCCGAATCATTTACCTTCTCTACTGGACTTATGTCTTGTTTCTGGTCCTAGTCAGTGCTCAATTTTTCCACATTCACCCTTTGGTGTTTCTGATCATGGTTTGATCTCTATAAAATCTCATTCTTTTTCATCGTCAGGATCCCCCTATCATCGTACCTCTTACAACTACCTTAAAGCTGACTGGGAATCTTTCGGTGATTTTCTTTGTGATGGCTTTGTGGGTAGATTTCTCTAATTTTCCTGCTGATAAATGTGGTTCTTACATAACTACTTGGATACAGGCTGGCATGGAATCTTCTATTGCCTCTCAACAATTCAAGCCTCGCTCTTCTCCTTGGTTTACCTCACGTTAGGCTGCTGCAATTTCCAATTGAAACCATTTCTTCCATATCTATCAACAAAACAATTCCCCAGAAAACAAATTTCTTTATACTATTGCTAGAAGCCATTGTAAAAAGATTTTGTCAAACACCAAAGCCCACCAAAGGATCTCACTTCTTCTATAGCATGGGGCCAACTTTGGCTGGTTGGTGGCTGGTGAACTTTAATTCATATAAAACCCATATGAAATATAAAAATTTCATACCATATAAAAATTTTTTCAGCTTATCGTTACTGCAATAATTTAGACCTTCCTATATTTATGAACAGTAATGTACTCGATAAGTCATCTACCCTTAATTTTTTAGGATTAACTCTTACTTCCTATCTTTCTTGAAAACCATATATCAAATCCATTGCAAAATTAGCATCTGCTAAGGCTGAGACTCTTTATCATGCTCAGCAATTTCATACTCCAGATTCTATTCTTAATCTCTATAATTCTCAAATCTGTCCTTGTATGGAATACTGTTGCCATATCTGGGGCAAATTTTTCAATGATGCCCTTTCTATTTTAGACAAGGTGCAAAAACACATTGTAAACATAGTTAGGCCTACTCTTGCAGCCAACTTCCAATTATTATCACATCATTGTAATATTGCTTCTATTTCTCTTTTCTACAAATACTATATTGGGCACTGCTCTAAAGAGATAGCATCTCTTGTGCCATCTACTAAAATTTATTCTTGTGTTACTCGTCATTCAATTAAGTCTCATCCTTTTTCTGCGACTATTTCTAAGTGGTTCAAAAACTTTTATTTGTCTAGTATTTTTCCTCATACATCAGTTTTTTTGGAATTCCCTTCCTTCATCTTGCTTTTCCTGATTCATATATTTTGCAACCTTTCAAGTCAATTATTGTATTGCTCTATAAACTTTATATTTTCTCTGAAACTTCAAACTCTAATTGTGGTTGCTTGCAGCCTTATTGGATGCGAAGATGTTGAATATATATATATATATATATATATATATATATATATATATATATATATATATATATATATATATATATATATATATATATATAAACCAAATGATGAACTAAGTTATATACATGTTGAATCCAATCACCCTATTTTATTTTATACACCCTAGCATTTTAAAGCAACTTCCTCATTCTATACAATTAAGGCTGTCAGCTAATTCATCTAATGAAAATATTTTTCGAAACTCATCCAATGCGTATCAGGATGCATTAATAAAGTCTGGTTACAAATTCAAAATTAACTATATTCCAAAACTTATTCAAACTCTATCAAAAAATCGTAAGCGCAATTAATCTGGTTTAACACCCCATATAATAAAAATATTTTTACCAAAATTGGTAAACTCTTTTTGATTTTAATAGATTAACACTTCCCAGCTGGCCATAAATACCACAAGATTTTTAATAGAAATATTCTAAAGGTGAGTTACAGTTGTATGCCAAAAATCAAATCAATAGTTAACTTTCATAACCATCATAAAATAAAAAACAACACCTCTGATTCCAATAAACATTGTAATTGTATTATTAAAAGTGCCCTCTAAATCAAAAATGCCTTGTAAATAACATAGTGTATCAAGCCACTTTGTACCTAGACACTCCAGACAGAAATGAAAAAGTATATTTTTGAGTGAGCGAAACCGCATTCAAACATAGAACGCTCAAACTTAGATACAAAATCTTTTAATATCAAAAAATATAAAAACGACACTGAATTATCTAAGGAAGTATGGAGGTTAAAAGAAAGTCAAATAAGCTCGACAATTGAATGGAAAATTGTAAAATGTTGTAGATCTTACAATCCCACAGTAAAACATTGCGACCTTTGTTTATTTGAAAAGTATTTCATAATATCTTACAATGATAACTTATTAAATAAGAGGAATGAATTAGTTTCTAAATGTAGACATAAAAGCAAATTTCTTAATTCAAAGTTCGATTTGGGTGATTAGTTAATGCCGACCCTAATTCTGAGGGTTACATGGCAGATGATTGCCTTTAAGCATGAAACTATTAGTACCATAAAAAGTTGTATTTTTTTTGTTTACAAATTTATATATATATATATATATATATATATATATATATATGTATATATATATATATATACATATAAATATATACATATATATATATATATATATATATATATATATATATATATATATATATATATATATATATATATATATATATATATATATATATATATACAGGCCTCGGTGGGAAGCGAGAGCTTTAGCTCTTGACCACACTCCCTTGAAACAGTTTACGAGAGCTATTTACTGCTCTCGCAAAAGTATAATTTTTCTCATAAAAGTATAATTATCATTTAAATAATATAAAAAAAATGTCATTTAAAAAAAATTAATTGCATAATATACTAAATGCTTTTTAAAAGGCACGGTTGTTGCAAAAACAATTAGAATTAAAAAAGAACGCTGCTCCTCATTTAAATCGGCACGATTTAAATGAGGAGCAGCTTACACATCTCCCCAAGTTTTTTTTTTTTTTTTTTTTTTTTTATTTTACTTCACCTCCTCAAGGCCGAGAAGGCCACTACAAACGAGGAGGCTACTTATTTTGTGGCTATAACCCTCTCTCAACTCTATAACTCCGAAACACGAACCTTGACGAACAAGGCCGCTGCGCGGAGAAACGAGTTGAGCGCGGTACTACAAGGGACGTGGTGGGGATCGAACTCGGAACCACTCGTTTATGAAGCGAGCGCTCTACCACTACACCACTAACGCGACTCAGTTCGTTTTAAGAGACTCACTACACCACTACCGCGACTCAAGCTCGTTTTAAGAGAGCTTTTCTCTGCTCTCGGACTGATTTATTCCTGCTGAGGCCTGTATTTATACATACATATATATATATATATATATATATATATATATATATATATATATACATCAGTAGTGTATACTGGATTTTTAGATATTTGAGATATTTTTAGATAATTGGTTGAAATTTGAAATTTTTTAATGAATATAAACTTTGATAAAAATACTAAAGAAATTATTTTACCAACTTGTTGCTCCAACGTTAAGGGCTGGGTGGGCCCAAAAATTGTTTTTTTTGTCTCTAAACTCTTATCACCGCAATTCTTTGCAAAACATTCTCATTTGACATAAGCATGAACATACAAAAGTTTGGAGTTTGCAGAATACCTGTAAGTCAAAACTCAAATATCTAAATATCCAGTGTACACCACTGTATATATATATATATATATATATATATATATATATATATATATATATATATATATATATATATATATATATATATATATATATATATATATATATATATATATATATATATATTATATATATATATATTATATATATATATATATCAGGGTGTAAACTAGTCCTGTGGCGCCCTGTCAAATGCAGTTTTCCCAAATGCTCATAAAATTAAAACTCCCAATTTAAAAATGAAAAAATCCCATTCTCCAAAAAAAGTTTTCAAAATTAAAGTTTAATATTAATTCTAAAAACTAATTAAAATTAATTATTATTCAAAACTAATAAAAAAATAACATAAAAAAATTCTAATTCATTAATTGCGTAAAACATGAAATCAAATCGCCATTATTGGTATAAAAACGCAATTGCATAACTGCGAAAATTGGTTTCTTGGAAAAAACATCATGAGAATTGGGATTTTTGGAGCAATTTTTGTGGCAATTTGCAATAAAATTTGAAAATAGCTTTTTGCAATGCATTCCAACAACAGCAAATATTATTTTAAAAAGTTAGCAAGAAATAAAGTACTAATCTAAAAGATCCAAAATAATAACAAACTTATTTGGTTTAACACCCGCAAATCCTATTTCTTTAAAAGTTTCGCCCTTTTTGGCTAGAAAGTTTAATAACTTATTAAGTCTCATCATAAACTTAATTTTAAGTAGTACATGTAATTCGTCAACAAAAACATCGAGAAGGTTATGTCAGATACCTTTTGATCAAATACGGGTATTACGGAAAATCTTTTAGTTATTGTTTTTCTTTTTTTGTTTGGTATTTTATATCAACTGAATTTGCTAAAGTTTTTTATTTTTTTACTGTATAATAATATTACTCTTTAATTAAACGACATTCATTGTTTGCTAATAATATTACTCTATAATTAAACGACATTCATTGTTGTATTTGCTGAGACTTTGTGATTATAACTTTATTTCGATATGTGATTTATGATTAAAAAAATGTGAAATATGAAATTTATGAGCTCGTGTTTACTATTTTTAAAACCTTATCTATTTTCAAAAAATTTCTTTTGATGAAACAGTTTATTACATAATGATGTGAGGGTTCGTTCGTAAGGTACATTGAGAAGAATTTAAATAATAAATAGAAGTAGAAGATCATTGGCTCATTGGAGATCGCTATTTTACTATATTACATTGAAAAAGAAATATATATTTAAAATAATACTCTTGAAATGAAAGCAGCGACAATATATAAAGATTAAAAATAAATCAAAATAAATATTCTCAATAATAATTAATATACACTGATTAGTTTATAATAAAAAAAGATATTTTTCCAAATATATATTCGAAATCAGTTCTTAGTTTGCCGTGTCATGAACAACAGCTAATTTTGAGTTGATCTCATATTCATCTTTAATGAAACAGATCGTATTTTATTTTATTTTTGGCGCTGATCAATCAATATATGCAGCCAAAAGAACACCAAAAAAGGACCTTATGCTTTCCCAGAACATATTTTAATCTCAAGGGAGGAGGGGTTGGTTGAGAAATACTTCAACAAATTCCCAATTTCGTTAAAATGTTGTATCAAATTTATTCCTGGTTAACACCCTGTATATATATATATATATATATATATATATATATATATATATATATATATATATATATATATATATATATATATATATATTAGTGAATGATAAATTTAGAGAACTTGTTGTTTTTTTGTGTGTTTTTTAGTTTTTGATACTTAACGGAGACAAAAGCAAAACTCATGCAATGAGTCTCAAAGATCCAGTATTCAATATCTTAATCTGGAAACAATATATCATAAATACATCAATGCCAGCCTAATAGATTTGATTAAAAGTGACTTAAATTCAATCAGTAACTCCTAAATTTAGTATCCTCAAACTACTTTTTTGTCTTGTATAGTTAATAAGTCTAAAACATTATTTGACACCATTTTTTTAAACCTTAAATCAAAGACTTTACTTCAGGTAACTTCACCACATCTATATCTGATCACCTAACAAAAAGCTGTTTATGAAAGAAATTACAAAGTATAATAATGGGACATCATTTTTCAATTGAATTTAAAAAGAATTATAATG